ACACACACACACACACACACACACACACACACACACACACACACACACACACACACACACACACACACAGATGTGGTGACATGTTCCAGGTGTGCACTCAGAATGATAAAACCTTCACAGATGGTTGTTGCTGAGGTGTGACCTACCAGCAGTCAGAGTGGGCTGTAAAGACTCCGTCCTTCAGAGACTCTGGAGCCATCCACCTGACGGGGAGCAGACCCTTCCCTCCTTTACGGTAGTAGTCCGTCTCGTAGATGTCCCGAGTCATGCCGAAGTCTGACAGCGGGTGAGACAAAGCACGAGTCAGACAGATTACGACATGAGAACAYAGCGAACAAAGCGAACACAATAGCCCGTACCTCCGATCTTGACGGTGTAGTCCTCGGCCACCATGCAGTTTCTGGCTGCCAGGTCTCTGTGGACGAACTTCTTGGCGTTGAGGTAGGCCATGCCGTCTGCGATTTCTGCTGCCATCTGCAGCATGTCCTTTAGAGTCGGAGGTGGGGAGCCTGACGGGTTGTTCTGTAAACCACACAAAGAAAATTAATAAATACAGTCTCCATGTCCGCTGCTTGTCCACATTCGGGTCGCGRAGGCAGCAGGTCTAGGAGAGAAACCCAGGCATCCCTCTTCCCAGCTCGTCCTGGAGGACCCTGAGGTATTCCTACATCAGAGAGGACACACGATCCCTCCAGCGAGTCCTGGTCTTCCCAAGGGTCTCCTACCATTCGAACGTGCCCGGAACACCTCTAAAGGGAGGCGTCAAAATCAGATGAACCACCTCAACTGACTCCTTTTGATGCAGAGGAGCAGCGGCTCAACTCAAACCTCCCCCCGGATGACAGAGCTCCTCATCCCATCTCTAAGACTGAGACTGACAAGGAAGATCATTTTGGCTGCTCGTATACATTGAAATACAGCTAAGTGGGAAAATCTCACAAGTAAAGATCTTTTACTGTGGTTATCGTCTGCAATCGGGACATTTTTTTCCATGTCATTGTTCTTTATTTAATCATTTCAGGGCTTTTCTGGGCTTTCTTCTCTTCTTTTTCCCTTGCATAAGAAGATAAACAAAAAGGACCTACCTCAGAGTCTGGCCTCAGACTCCGCAGGTAGCTCTTTAGGTCACCGTGAATCATCAGCTCCATCACAACCAGGGTGGGCTGACCTTTAGAGACGACTCCCAACAGACGCACCTGCAAAAAAGAAAACAGACAAAACAAATGAAACCATCATTCTTTGAAGGAATGCATATCGTGCAAACTGAGGATTGAGTCAAATTTGGTTAAAATGACCTGAGCACATTCATGAGTGGTTCCAGAGACTTGCCTTGATTTGTCTTCCTGATCAGGATAACTCATCGATATTTGGTTTGTATCCTATCTTTAGGTTTTTCTGATGAGGAATTTTTAACGTCTTTATGAAGAAGAAACCTCAAACGGTTCTCGGATATAAAAACTGTGTCCAAATTCAGGGGCTGCATCTTTCGAAGGTCAATTACATCACTTATATGCACCAAAACTTGTCCAAATTCAAAGACTCCTGCAWTTGCAGCCAACAAATGCATCCTACTTTTCCCCCCGATATGAGGGACAGGTCTGATGGATCCTTTACATTTGCGCTAACAGTTATTAAAATATTCATGTCAGAAATCAAACGAGCTCATACAGCAGGTCCCTTAGTTCTAAGTATTGCCTGTAAGGTAATTTTGCTAAATTATAATATTAATATTTATCTAATGTCAATCTTCGTCGCTTCTGTTTAGTGCCCTCACGCTTGCTCCACGACAGGACATACGACAGGGTAATGGCGTGAATAAAGACCGTTCAAATTCAGACACTTTCTTACGGTCTTTGGGGTCGACAAAAGACTCGGTCCATGTAGACCGGGTCCTTCAAAGGACGCAGTCCCTRAATTTGGACGTAGGCAAAGATTTACCAGCTGGAAAGAATAGAAAACGCTTTGCTAGCTCGCAGGTAAAATGACAAAAAAAATCAAGTCTTTTCTGCTTAAAAATCATATTTTTTGTAGGTAATCCTAAAAAAAGTTTTCAAAAAAATTCTTCAAGATTATATTTCAGACATTTCATTCAAACAACTCGTAGATAAAATATTTATTCGTTATATTTTGCCAAATTATTGCAAACATTTTCATCACTTCTCCACACACTACTTTGTGACATAATCCTCAGTTCGATGTGTTTGTTGGCTTATATCTAACTACGGATTAGTAAATCTCTACAGTCAGTAACTTTTCATGTGTTACATATAAAAGCTTTCAGAGAACAGTGTGACACCAACACTGCTGACTATTCACATGTGAATAAATCAACGCACCAAAAATGAGAATTCTCTTGTCTTCACGTGGTTAATAATAAAACTCTCTTATCTCAACATGAGTTTGCACAGCCGACAGCTAGTGTTGTAGTACTTGAAACCAGTCTTGGTCTTAAGACCGGTCTCAAGACCAGTTTTTGATGGTCTTGGTCTTGTCTCGGACTCTACAGCATTTGTACTCGGTCTTGTCTCGGTCTCGGACATTGAGGACTCAGAATTTTGTTTCAAGACCAGTCAAGACCACARCTGTGGAAATATAACTAAATAGCCATATTATTGTCCAATTTATTTGTTAACAATCTTACTTTCATTGGATTTAAAATGTAGCTACTGATTCAAATCCAAACCTGAATTATTGCTATTTATGTATTTTTGTTAGCGGCTGTCACCCATCTGCACCTGCCGTCACTCACATGCAGCACTCCCAGAAAGTGAACTGTGGTTCTCTGGAAGCGGTAGAAGATGTCTTCAAAATTTTAAGTAAAAAAGTTTGGCTACATTATTCATAAATAATATCATTGTAAAAGAATAACAACCAGGAGAAAACATAAAGCAACTTGTACATTCGGCAGCACTTCACTTTCAGAGACTGGGGGCAACGTCAAACTTTTAGTCACTGCCTCTGTAGCAAAATTATTTTCTCTGCCCTCACACAAAGATTTAGTCAATATTAGCTCTACATAAAGTGGGTAAAAAGTATTTAGTCAGCATCAATAGTTCAAGTTCTCCAACTTAAAAAGATGAGAGGCCTGTGATTGACATCATAGTTAGACCTCAACTATGAGATCTAAATACTCCCCACTGTACATGTGTACACAATACTCCATCTTTTAGGAAACATTTTATTTATCTGGTCTTGGTCTTGTCTCGGTCTCGCCCTCCCTTGGTCTTGGTCTCGACTTGGTCCAAACCCTAAAAGTCTTGGTCTTGTCTCGGTCTCGCCCTCCCTTGGTCTTGGTCTCGACTTGGTTCAAACCCTAAAAGTCTTGGTCTTGTCTCAGTCTCAATACACTGTGGTCTTGGTCTTGAGTTGGTCTCGGGTTAGGTGGTCTTGACTACAACACTGCCGACAGCACAACATGTTGCACTAATTGTTGCTTAGTAGGTCATGTAATGAAAGCGTGATGGCAGTCACAATCGCTTGCYGAGTGTGAAAATGTGTTTGGGAGTCAAACTGGGTGTCTATGTGGCAGCTTCAACACAACAAGTCGAGTCATGATCCTCTGAGTCCCTCGCTGATAAACTGTAGCTGATGAGCGCACKGACAGCTGCCTCAGGAGATTATTGCTGAAATGCAGTTTTAAAAAGAGGGTGATCCATACCACGTGGTGACAACTGAAGGCCTTCATGACCGAGGCTTCGTTGAGGAACTCGATTCTCTCTCGCAGGCTGGCCGACTCGTTGACCGTCTTGACGGCGACGCGACTGTCCGGCTCTCCTTTGACGATGTCTTGAGCGATGCCTTCGTACACCATGCCGAAGGAGCCCTGACCCAGCTCTTTGAGCAGCGTGATCTTCTCCCGAGGCACCTCCCAATCATCAGGAACGTACACTACGCAAAAACAGACAAAAGGACCTAAAATCTGCTACCTACAAATAGTGCAACACCTTTTCTTTTAAATATCCTCACATGAGTAACAAACACAAAAAGGGGTGTAAAATGCAAATAAAAACAGATCTGCAAATCCCATGAACCCAACCAACAGGTCAGTTAGAACAGTGGGTATATAAAGGGTAAAGATGAGCGGAGGTTCACCAGTTTGAAGAAAAATATGTTTAAAAATTATGGAACAATTTCAGAATAATCTTCCTCGATATAAATTTTATAACTTTGAATAACCTACCATGTACAGTTAATATCATCAAAATATTTAGATAATCTGGAGAAATTTCTGTGCTCAAAAGACAAGGATGACAATCAATGTAAACACAGCTCACTAAACCACCCAAAACTGCTGGTTAAAGCTCTGTCATGCAAAGAAAAAGCCATATGTGAAAACCCTCTGTTTTATCTGGACCAAATCCGCTTTAAAATACACCGAGGCAAATTCAAAAACTGAAAATTTAAATTTCTTCTTGGAACCCACAGATCCATCCTACATATGAAAAGAAGAGATGGGTCATCCAGCCTGTTATTAGTGCACAGTTGAAAGTCCTGCCTCTCTGATGACATAGGGGTGCATTAGTGACTCTGGCATAAGCAGATTCAAGCACAAGGGAAAGGCAAAAAAATTAAAACAGGTTTTAAAAATAACATACGCTCCCTGGATTATATTGTTTTCAGAGAAGTTCTTGTTTCAGCAAGATGATGCTCAACCACCTGCTGACCTGGTCTGCCTRCAGTCCAGACCTGCCACTACCTGAAAACATTTGGTGCATCTAGAAATGAAAAATCTAGAAATGAAGACCCGGAACTATTGAACAGCTTGAATCCAACATCAAACAAGAATGGGAAAAATTTTCCCTCCAAAAAAACTGAAGTGGTTCAATTATAAATGTTGCTGCCATAGATT